GCCACTGCACTCCAGTCTGGGCGACAGAGTGAGACTTCAACTCAAAAAAAAAAAGTCTATGGGTAAATGTAAGTCACCCCCGACCCTCCAAATCCATAGAGAGTCCCTCAACTAACCAAGGTGATGTGTGGATGGGGGTGAGGAGCACTAGAGGGTGAGGGTAGGAGCATCGGGGGATTGCGGCTGTGTGGAACCCTCAGAGGGTCGAGTGGAGCTCAGGAGTCAGATCCTCTGTAAATGGGAGTGTGGGGGCACTAACTGAGATCACACTTGGCAAGGTGCTTGGCCCAGAGACCAGCCCGGTAAATGGCACCTTCTGCTCTGACTGTGGGGTGGCTGGAGATGAGGTTACCCCAGACCCTGAGAGGAACCCAGAGCCCCAGCACCTTATCAGCAGGTGGGAAAAAAATCAAGGTATCCTGGGTCCATTTGCAGGACCATCTTGCCCATTTGCAGAGGGATGCCAGGGCAGAGCTCTCTGGGTACCTCTGCCCTTTCTGTGCTTTGGCAAGTGGGGATCCCTCTCGGCTCACTGCTGGGTAGTCAGGGCCAGGTCCCTGGAGAACTCTTATCAAAATCCTGGCCAGACGCGGTGGCTCATACCTATAATCCCAGCACTTTGGGAGGCTAAGGGAAGAGGACTGCCTGACCCCACAGGTACAAGACCAGTATAGGCAAATTGGTGAGACCTCATCTCTACAATAAATAAAAAAATTAGCCGGTTGTGTGCTTGTAGTTCCAGCTACTTGGAAGGCTGAAGTGGAAGGATCACCTGAGCCCAGCAGGTTGAGGCTATAGTGGCTGTGAGCATGCCACTGCACTCCAGCCTGGGTGACAGAGTAAGACTTTGACAAAAAATAAACAAAGAAACAAACAAACACACATACACAACCAAAATTCCATCCCCAGGAGCATCTGTCCTCAATGCCATAATCTTGGCTATCCTTGCTGGGGCTCAGCTTTCAGAATTGATCTCTTTCGAAGAACAGGAGGCATAGCCAGGCCAGCAGGAAAGGTCTTAGAGGCACAGACCCTCGGGCCCCATGCAGAGTGATTGATAGTAGAAGCTGCTCCCCACCTGCCCAAAGCTCCATTTCCTGCCACGAGTTGGGCAGGAAATGCCCTGTCATCCAAGGTAAACCCAAGAGTGCTCAGCAGATAGACACTATTGACCATTTCACAGACAGGGGCTGAGGAATGGAGAGGCCCTGCTCTGGCTGGGCTGGGACTCAGATCCTGAACCATGACCTCTGCCAAGATCCAGGCCCTCTTACCGTCCGACGTGTTCCCTGCCGGTGTCCTCAGCCTCTGCCCTCCAGGACCCAGGCAGCCTAGGGCTGTGTGGATCAGAGAACCTAGTGCTGGAAGCCTGGGCCCAGGCCCCAAGTAGCCCCCAGCCTAAGGACCCCCCAAGGCCAAGCAGCAGAGTCAAAATCATCTTGGTCGTGGGACAGGCTTGGGCTCGGCTCAGCTTAGCTTCAGTCTCGGCAAGTGACTCCAGAAACTGCCAGTGACGTCGTCTTCAAGTTAGATCTCAGAAGGGAAAAAAAACATGAGGACAACAAAGAGAGGAAGTGGCCTGGGCCAGCCCACCGGGTGAGCCTCGTCCGGCTCCCCCACCCCCTGGCTGGCTCCCACAGGGGCTGTCAACCACACAGGCCAGTTCATATACCCTGAAAGGACTTGGCTCAGGGACACAGGAGGTATGGGAAACACAAGTGGTGGCCCCACCAAACACGTCCCCATGGGAACCTGCAGCCTTGGAGCCACACGAAGTGTATAAGCTTCGAGGTGGGGCTCAGGAAGCAGTTGGGTCGGTCTCAAGGGACCTGATGCCCATCCACACTGCCGACCAGGAAGTGGGGGCAATGTCATGCCTCCGCAGCACTTTTCATCACTGAGCTGTGGGAGCCAGCAGGTGGGTGGAGGCTCAGAGAAGGAAAGGAGCTATTCTGGGGTCACACAGCATGCAGCCAGAGGCCAAGTCTTGGGGCAGCACTTTGTGTGCCTCTCTCCCCACCCCCCAGTTCCTCCAACTGGTTTTGCTGGAGCCTGGGGGTTAGAGGCATCCAGGATGCTGGTGGGTAGCTGGGCAGCCCAGGCTGGTCGGGGAGGTTGGCCACTCTCATATGACAGGCCTCCGTGGTCCTGACCCCTGCCCTACCTAGGATACTGGCCAAGGCACCTCCCCTCTCTGTGCCTGTCTCTCTGGCTATAGCACAGACATAGCAGCCCATGGGCCCAAGTGCACCCAGCCAGGACTGCCCCTTTGAGTGGGCAGGGCAGTAAATGAACGAGGGGCAGGGATGGGTTAGGAAGAGTCCAGCCTGCTGTGGCCCCTCCCGGAGAGCAGGGGGCAGGAGGGCAGGGCTGAGCCAGCAGAGCCCCAGGGGGCCTGGTCCCTGCTGCCCCACCCTGGAGAAGGTGAGGGCTGGCCTCCTTCCCCACCCCCACCCCACGCAGGGCTGGCTGGGCTCCAGCTGGCCTCTGCATCAATATTTCATCGGCATCAATAGGAGGCAGCGGGGACAGCCGCTGCGGCAGCACTCGCTCCAGCTCCAGCCTGCAGCTCGCAGGGAGAGTCCCGCTTCCATCCTGCTCACAGTAGCCCAGCCCGGCACACCACCATGGATGTCTTCAAGAAGGGCTTCTCCATTGCCAAGGAAGGTGTGGTGGGCGCCGTGGAGAAGACCAAGCAGGGGGTGACAGAGGCAGCTGAGAAGACCAAGGAAGGGGTCATGTATGTAGGTGAGTGGGTCAAAGGAGGGTGCGGCAGGGCAAGGCAGCATGGTAGCCAGAGGGCAGAGTGCCTGTTACCTTTAGCCTGACCTTACTCCCCAGCCCTAGGGAAGGATTTTGGGAGGGGCTGAGGCCCTGGCTGTCGAGGTGGGGTCTCCAGGCCCTGGAGCATCCACCGTGCCCTGTACACACCCACGCGTGTTTACCTCTGGCCTCCTCAAAGCCCCAGGCTCTCTCAGATGCAGACATGGTCAGCCACCTGTCTGTGCACACACAAAGACGTGCCCAAACACAGCGGGATCCCTTGAGCCTGCATCCCCTGAGGACCTGAGCAGCCGAGTGCTCAGGTGGGTGCCCCGCCCTCTCTACAGGAGAGCTGCTTCGGCCAGCAGCCAAGCCACAGCCTGCTCTGAGGGAAGGGGTGGACTGGGGAGATGAGACCCAGACTTAGTGTCCCATCTGCCCCCATCCCCCAGCTCCCTTTGAAGGGGAGAAAGGGGAGGCTGATTGGATGACTCAGCTCTCTTCTGTCCTGTCCTGCTGCTGCTTCCGAGGCCTGGGCCACACCCAGGCAGGGTCTGGACCATGGGTCTAGCCGGCGTTCCTACCTCAGGCCTGGTCCCTTTTGTCCCTCTATCCTGTCGAGTCCCCTTCCCATCTGTCCACTTCCTCCAGACACAGCAGGAAGTGGCCCTTTGAAGGGGCTGTCAGCCCCAGACACCATCCTCCACCCTGCCATCAGCCCCACAGCTTGTTCAGCTGTTCTGTGTTGTGTTTGCCCTGACCACCCCAACACCCAGAGGCGGGGGGCCTGGACTGACGGCTCCATTTCCTCCCCAGGAGCCAAGACCAAGGAAAATGTTGTGCACAGCGTGACTTCAGGTGAGGAGACTGAGGACAGGGACACGGGGGCTGGGACCTCCAGGACTCCTGCAGCTTAGTACTGAGGACCCGAGTCCAGGGTCTTTCTGGCCCTCAACTGGGGTCCTAAGCTCTACATGGATCTAGACCCCAGCAGAACCTGAGGTTAGACAGACCAGGGTGGGCTTCTCCTTCCCCCACAACCAGTGTCAGAGCTGCCCTGCAGTCAGAAAAGGGGCAGTTGGGGTCCCAGTAGAGTCAGAACTCTGAGTGCCCTGGGACGGGGCTCTGCGGCCTAACTTGAACAGGTTAGCCCAGTGGGGAGGGATCAGGGCTGAGGCCAGCCAGCATCCTCCCGCAGTGGCCGAGAAGACCAAGGAGCAGGCCAATGCCGTGAGCGAGGCTGTGGTGACCAGCGTCAACACCGTGGCCACCAAGACCGTGGAGGAGGCGGAGAACATCGTGGTCACTACCGGGGTAGTGCGTAAGGTAAGCCCTGGCTATCAGACTGGTTCCATCCTTTCCCCTGAGCCTAGAGAGGCCAGCTGGGGAGGAGGCATATTGCCCCACTCAACGGTCAGGGAAACAAAGACTTAGAGGCTTCATTTTCAACACCCACTGTGTGTCAAGGGCAGGGGTGCAGGTCTGTGCTTGACGTTTCACACCCATTCACAACCAGTTTGGAGCCCATTTTGTAGATAAGAAAAATGAGGTTCAAAACCACGCCCTGTGGATGGCGCTCAGAATTTAGCAGATACCACGTTTTATACGTGAAAACAAGGCCCCACAGGGTGACAGGTAGCTTCCCAGGCAGAGGACATCAGGCCAGAGGGGCCAAGTCACCACCCGCCCTCAGGGTCCTGCTTCCCTTTGGGGAGCAGGCCTGGCTGCCGCCTCCTTCCAGGAGCAGCAGGGAAGCAGCGCCCTCAGGTGGTGGAAAAGCAGTGCAGGCTCTGACCCCACCCTCCACTGCTGCCTTTGTATGTGAATGCCTGTGTGCGGTGCGTGTGAAGATGTGTGTGGGGGATGTGCATGGTGTGCGCTGCCGGCGGCAGAGAGCACAGGAGCTGCAGGCGCTCCCAGGGGATGGGTGTCAGCCAGATGAGCTGTCCCAGCACCTATCACAGAGCAGGCTCTGCTTGAAGCATTTTATGCTTATTAGCTCACTTAATCGGAAACTAAGGCCCAGAGAGATTAAGAAACACACCCAAGGTCTCACAGTTGGTCCACATGAGCTTGGAATTTCCAAGGGTGGCCTGTGCCCTAAGAGATCTGTCAGTGCAGGTGATGGCAGACTGGGATTCCAACCTGGTGGTGAGGTATGGATGCTGTATCCAGCTCTCCTACCCGCCACAGGCCCCCTGGGGAAGTAGAATCTGAGAGTTCTAGCACTGAGAACCCCTACTCTGGGGATGGGTGTGAGGGAGTGTGGGGCTGCCCTACCTCTAGCTCCTGAGCAGCCCCCAGGGATCTGCTTCCAGGACTAGCATAGGGTCTCCATGTTTTAGGAGCCAGTTGCTGCCCCCTCTCCCAGTCCCTAGCTACGTAACCTTAGGAAGCTAAGGTTTCCGTTTTCTCACCAGGCTGTGTGATGAGGCAGGGAAAATACCGCCATGAAGGGGCTCTGCCTGGCTCATGGTGAGCACCCAACGAATAAAAGTGACTATCACCATCATCATCATCATCAGTACCCTGGGCAGAAGCCCCATGTGCCCCGGAAGGCTACCTCCAGTGACAGAGGTCCAAGGGTGGGGATGTCCAGGTACTCCTTGAGGATCCTGGAGGAGAGCTGGTGAGCCCTTGGGGCCGCCCCAAGGGAGACTCATTTCCTGGTGACACCCAAAACCAGTCATGACTCACCCCCCTACCCCCAGTGAACCACAGAAGGATGCTGGTTGGCTGGCTGCTCATACCACTGGCCTCATCACCAACCTTGGGGCAACACGACTAGGCCAGTGGTCACCTGCCCTGCTCCTGGAGAGCCTAGCTGACTCTGGTCAACACAGTTCTGCCCCTTTTGTTCCCCACTTAACCGAGAGGCAGGATGATCCTGTGGCACCTTAGAGGTAGCAGGACCCTCTGGAGGTAGGTGCTAAGACCAGTGTCCAGGTCGATCACCAGTCTGGTCCTGCACATGCAGCTGCCATGACCTCTCGGGCAAGGGTCCTGCTGGCCTGGGTTGCAGGGGGATAGAAGAAGACAGGATGTGGCAGAGGATCATGTAACCCCTGCTGGCTCTGACCAGCCTGAGCCCAGAGACCATCTAGGAGGCAGGGAGAGGAACCCATACTATTGGGGACAGGAGTGGACCTGGAACAACTCTGGCCTGATGTCCACAAGCCCCACTGCTTTGAGCTCAAGACCTTGAACTGCATACCTGGCCTCACCTCCCTGGCCTCAGGCCCCTATGTGAACCCCAGTCAGCCTTCCTTATAGGACATCAGGCTCAGTAGGACAAAGGTGTGTACTCATGTGATAATAGGAACACTGAGGGTGGGGACAGGCCTGGGGCTTTCACGGGCCTCTGCCCATCCTCACCCCCACTCCACCTCACCCCACCTGGTTTCCTCATCAAGGAAGCCCAGCCAGGGGCTTCCCAGAGATTGGAGATCAGTTTGGGGGCTGAAGCTGGGCTCCAGAGTACTTGGTACCCCCAAAAGCCTTGGCATCACCAGACAGAGCCCCAACTGTATTCTGGCCCTCTCACTCCCCACCTCCAGCCCTCCAATACAGCAAGTCCCCATGATGGTCTTCCATTCATCTTGAGGCCAGGGTAGTCGAGGCCCCGGTTGCAGGGCGTCTGGTGGTCTCTGGGTCCTCCACATGGCCTCATGTCCCGTTTGGTCCCCTATAGGAAGACTTGAAGCAGCCCACCCCCCCACAGGAGGATGAAGCAGCCAAAGAGGAAGAGGAAGTGGCTAAGGAGGTAGGAGATGAGCACACCATGGGGAGTCCTCAGTAGGGACCCCGACCCCCACAGATCTACTGCTTCTTTCCTAGGGTCCCAGAGCCCACAGGGAGCTGCTGTCTTTCTGCAGCCCCCCACAGGGACTGGGGCCAGGGCCTGAATGTGAGGTCTCCCCATAAATGACTCTCAAGGCGGGGGACAGAGGTGACAGCCTCCCCCAGCCCACTCAGGATGGCCCATGAGGATTGTGGGTCTGGAGCTGTGTGTGTAAGTCATTCTCTCTCCCAGGCCCAGAGTGGGGGAGACTAGAGCCTGCAGGTCAGCACAGAGGCCCCGAAGGGCACTCCTCCACCTTGGACCCCACCCCTTCTGGCACGAGGAGAGCCCGCCCTGGCGTGTGACCCACAGCTGCTCAGACTCCCCGTGCCCACGCCCGGCTGCCCCCAGGCCTGACCTCTCATGCTGCTGCACTGCCCTCACTGTCCTCCCTCACCCTCTCCCGCCCTCCGGCCCTTCTGACCCCAGATGCTGCTGTGATTTTTTTTCTAATTATTCCAAATAAACTTGAGCCCCATCCCAGTTGTGCTTCTGCTCTATGCTGCTTTGCTCAAACAGAGGTTCCCTGAGCCCTCCCGGGAATAGGAGCTGGTTCAGCTTGTTGATGTGACCAGGTACCCTACAGACACATAGGGTGTTTCTGGAACAGAAACAGAGCAGGCCCCGCCTTCAGGAACACCCTGTATCCCAACCCATCCCTTGCCTTTAACATGGAGGATACAGCCATGCCTTCGACACCCCCAGTCAGCAGGACACACAGTCCTGTCCACAGGGGCAGCGTGAGTTCATCCTCGGGGGCCAGGGAGGGAGCTCACCTGTCTGCTTTGTGTCTCTGAGGAAATGGCATCAGCAGGAGGTGAAGATAAGCTCCTGGGCCTTCCCACCCTGTGCATGCCTGGCTCCAGAGACCTGCAGAGAACAGAGATACCCACACCCTCCCTGGAGCAGATGGTAGCTTTCAAAGATGGGGAAACCTAGACCCGTAATGAGGAAGAGGAGCACTCTGCCAGCGGAGATATGAGGTGACCCCAGGGCACCTCCTACCGGGTCCCACCCAGCCTCAAGTCTGTCACCCAAACTGGAGCTGGGCTTTCCCCTTCTGTACCCAGAAGCCTGTCAGGTGTCATTAAAAAAATATAACAGCTGAGGCGAATGAGAGTAAGCCTCACCTCGAGAGAAGACTAGTAGAAACTAACATTTGCCGAGTTCCTCCCAGGCGTCACTGTTTTGAACAATCCTCAGAACAAATCTATCAGGTAGGAGTTGGAATAACCCCAGTTTGACTAAGAAGCACAGGACTGGGCACAAGCCCAGGTCGTCTTACCCCAGAGCCACCTGGTTGACTCCCAAGCTTGCTGTGACCACTGGAACTGCTTGGGTTCCAGGGCTTATGGCAGATCCCCCAACACTGAAGGTTTCAAAGTAACCCAGGGACCTGGTCAGTGTCCTATGTGACGGGCTGTTTGCATCGTGTCTGGTGGTCTTATTCAGAGTCAGCTGAGCAGAGACCAGGATTCCCTGGGACCCTCCTTTGCTACCCAGACAGTTTGGGCTCAGAGCATCTAAGTGACATTCCTCAGGCCTCCAGTCCTGGTTGTTGGGGCCAGAGCTTGAGAATATCCACATACGACATCAGACCCTGCTCTGTCCACACTGCCTTCCCTATCCAGCCTCTGCAGTGGGAGCAGGGGTCAAGGGCAGCCCAGGGGGCTGGGGAGCCTGGTCAACACAGCTGAACTGGGCTGGCTCTGGTCAGCTGGTCATGGGCATCTACTAAGGATGCAGGAAGGACCAAGGGGCCCTTGCATGCCAGGGGATTGTGCTGATCTCCCTGCCCCAGAAACCCCATCATGGGCCCCAGAAACTCTGTCCCAGAAACCCCGTCATGGGCAGGAGTGAAGGAAGAAGCTCAGGGCAAACAGGAGTGTTTCTGCTCCCCAGTCCAGACACATACACATAAGCAGCCCTGTGTGTGTCCCAGGAGGTGGCCACCTGGGGCCTGGGTGTGCCTGAGAGCTCTTTGGACTGTGAGAGAAAGCAAGGAGGAGTAAGGCCAGCTCAGATGACTGGAGGTGAGAGAGAGGACACCTAGGACTGGCCCCTGGGGACAGCCTTCCCCAGGCTCCCAGTGCCCTCCGCCTCTGGTTCACACCTGTAATCTTAGCACTTTGGGAGGCCAAGGAACACACACACACACACACACACACACACTCTCTCTCTCTCTCTCTCTCTCTCTCTCTCTCTCTCTCTCTCTCTCTCTCTCAGGGCCTGCTCCTGGGTTCAAATGACAAACATGGAGGTCTCCCTGTCCCGGGAGTCGCCTTCCCTATCCCGGGAGTCACCTTCCCTATCCCATGGGCACCTGCAGGGGCTCTTTTCTTTTGAAAGAAACCCCTTTCATGGCTGGGTGCAGTGGCCCATGTAATCTCATCACTTTGTGAGGCAGAGGCAAGAGGAGTGCCTGAGCCCAGGGGTTCAATACCAGCCTGGGCAACATGGCAAGACCTCGTCTCTACGATAAATAAATTATTTGGGTGTGGTGGCACGCACCAGTAGTTTCAGCTACTTAGAAAGTTGAAGTGGAAGGACTGCCTGAACCCAGCAGTTCTAGGCTGCAGTGACCATAAGTGTGCTACTACACTCCAGTCTGGTGTAACTAGTGAAACTACAATTCAAATAAATAAACAAACAAACAATAAATAAACAACCCAACTCTTTTTATGTGTCTTGTGCTCTGGGCCCTGTGAGACAGCTTCTGACTTCCCTGGAGGAGTAGAGTCGTCCTTTCCTTTCCACAGGGGATACATCTTTGGATGCCCGAAATCCTAGATAGTACCGAGGCCTCAATATATTGTGTTTCTCTCTCTCTCTCTCTCTGTGTGTGTGTATTAGATATATATATACTAGATATATACATGTCTATTATAAACTTTATAAATTAGGCACAGTAAGAGATTAACAATAACTAATAATAAAATAGAACAATTATAGCAATATATTGTAATAAAGGTTATTTAAAACTTATGAACTGTTTATTTCTGGAACTTTCTATTTACTATTTCAGACCTGGGTTGACCAAGGTATAAGGGTCAAAGGAAAACTTTCCCTTCACCCTCTGAAGTTTTACTGAAAAATCAATTAACAAGGCCGGGTTCGGTGGCTCAACCTGTAATTCCAGCACTTTGGGAGGCCAAGGTGAGTGGATCGCCTGAGCCAGCGGGTTCGAGACCCACCAGGGCAACTTGGCGAGACCTCATCTCTACAATAAATCAAAAATTAGCCGGATGTGGTAGCGAGTGCCTGTAGTTCCAGTTACTTGAAAGGCTGAGGCGGAAGGATTGCTGGAGCCCAGTAGGTCAAGACAGCGGTGGCCGGGAGCAGCCACTGCACTCCAGTCTGGGTGACAGAGTGAGACTCCAACTCAAAAAAAAAAAAAGAAAAATCAACTAGCAAAAGGCAGATTAACAGGAGAAATGTCATATCAATTACCAGGGTGCACAGGGGAAAATCACAGATTGATTGCCCAACCACACAACTGGGTACAGAGGCTTCCGTACCCTTCTTCATAGGGGGAAGGGAGATGGAGAAGTGTGAAGGGGTTTAGTAGTAAATGAATGTTAGGGGAATTCAGTGGGTTTGAAGAACATACAGTGGCCTGGTACACAGTTTATTGGGCCCACAGAGCAGAGGGATTGTGACAAAAGTCTGTCCGGGTGTATTGACAGACTTCGGTCTTTCTTCCCAAGATATGAAAGTTCAGGGTAGATGCTAGTGATCACTGTTTTCTTTGACAGGTGCAGACTTTAGGCAGATAAGGGAACTTCAGAGAACAATTTCATCGTGTGCTTTGGGAAAGACAGAGGACTGAGAGACAGGTGGGGGTGGGGAGGTCAGAGAGCACATGAGGCTTCTTGAGTTCAGCATGTCAAAATGCCATATTCTGGGGAGCTGGTTTCTGTGGGCCAACAGTGGGCAACTGAAACCACTTAAAGCAAAAACCAAAGAAAGTGAAACTATGTCCCTCTTGCAGGGTCCTCTTTGGGCACCTTCAGTCCATTTAATCTTCACAAAAGCCCGGCTCGGTGACTCAGCCTGTAATCCCGCGCCTTTGGGAGGCTGAGGTGAGTGGATTGCCTGAGCCCGCGGGTTCAAGACCCACCTGGGCAGCGAGACCTCATCTCTACAATAAATAAAAAAATCAGCCGGGCGTGGTAGCGCATGCCTGTAATTCCAGCTACTCGGAAAGTCGAGAAGTCGAGGTGGAAGAATCGCTGGAGCCCAGCAGGTCGAGGCTGCGGTGGCCGGGAGCGGCCACTGCACTCCAGTCTGGGCGACAGAGTGAGACTCCAACTCAAAAAAAAAAAAAAAAATCTTCACAAAAACACGGTGGGAAGATTCTGTTATGGGGACACTGAGGATCAGAAAGGTGAAGGGGCCGGGCGCAGTGGCTCACACCTGTAATCTTAACACTTTGGGAGGCCAAGACAGGTGGACCGCTTGAGCTCAGGAGTTCAAGACTGGCCTGGACAACATAGCAAAACCTTATCTCTCCAAAAATAATAATGATAAAATATTAGCCAGGTGTGGTGGCATACACCTTGCAGTCCCAGCTACTTGGGACGCTGAAGTGGAAGGATTGCCTGAGCCCAGGTGGTCCAGCCTGGGCCACAAAGTGAGACCCCCAACTCAAAAAAGAGAGTGGGGAGGTGAAGGGACTTGCCCTAGGGGTATTTGTACCCAAGAGGTTTGACTGTAGTGCCTGCGGCTTGGCCACTCTGAGCTGTCTCTACCTTCACCCACTTGGGGTTGGCTGTTCCTCTCAGAGTCTGCTGCCTTCCTGTCCTCATCACTGCCCTCAGCAGCTGTGAGATAAACTAGAGCAAAGGCCTTCCTGGCTAAAGGGAGGCAGCTACCAATGGGATTTCAGGAGGGCTGGCGGGGATGCAGCAGGGCTGGGCCAGACTCAAATCCCCATAGGACTGGTGACTCCCCAACATGCCTTTGAGCCCAGGGCAGGGCAGGGTTGTGGGCCAAAAGGGGCGGGGGCGGGCCACGGTGGCAGCTCTGTTTGTCAGAGACAGTGCTCCCTCCCTTCCCCCACCTAATCTCATTGTCTGACTCTTGGTCATGCCCAGGGTTGACCTCATCTCCATTAATCCATACCCTGCGTGCGTGCGCACATGTGTGGGCCAGCGGGCACTTCCTGACGCCCCTCACCTGTGGCCGACCCTGCTCATTGAGAAGCAGGTCATGGACCAGTGGAGCAGGCCTGGGTGGAGAGACCTTCCCAGAGCTCCAGAATAGGGGAGACTACAACAAAGGTGGAAGAAATAGACCCAGAGAGGAAGAGTTGGGGTCTCCAGGCTGGACCCAGAGAGCAGAGGGGGTGTGTGGTGGCCTCCAGGCTCCAAAGGCTGACTCTCCAGTGGAAGAGCTCTAGGCAGGGTGGGGCCTGACCCCCTTGCATGTCAGGGGTTGTGTCTCACAGGTTGTTTTGCTGTCCCTGATTCCCTGACTCCACTCAGGCCCAGGTTTCTTTTTCTTTTTTTTAATTTTTTTGAGTTGGAGTCTCACTCCATCACCCAGGCTGGAGTACAGTGGCACGCTCATGGCCACCCCAGCATCGACCTGCTGGGCTATGGTGATCCTTCCGCCTCAGCCTTCCAAGTAGCTGGACCTACAGGCGTGTGCTATCGTGCCTGGCTAATTGTTTTTTACTTTTTGTAGAGACGAGGTCTTGCCAAGTTGCCCGGGCTGGTCTCGAACCCGCGGGTTCAGGTAATCCACTCACCTCGGCCTCCCAAAGTGCTGGGATTACAGGCTGAGCCACTGAGGCCATTCAGGCCCAGGTTTCTAACTCCCCTCCTAATGCCCCCATGTCATCCCCTAGCCCCACACACACTGTCCCAGGAAAGGTGTCCTGAGCAGACTGGGCGCATTCCTGTTCCCTGTGAGCTGTGCTTCCTGTCCAACTCTTGAGGCCTTGGTGACCGAGGGCAATCTCCTTGCCTGGGCCAGGCGCACATGGACTGCCCTTTCCCTCTCCCCTTGAAGTTGCATTTTCTGTAGGTGTTCACTCCAGTATCTTGCCTTCCAGAGGAAATATTTACCTGACCCTCCCCTGTCTGCATCAGTTGGGCAGATGACCAGTCTGCAGTGTCCCAGCAGGGGGCTTGGGGCCTGGGACGTGGCTGTTGCAATGGCCTAGAGTTTACACTCCACCTACGCAGATTTGGCTCCTGTCAAGTGAGCTTGGGCGAGACCTAACCCACTCTCTCTCTCTGCCTCAGTTTCTTCCTGTAAACTGATGCCATTAATAAAAGCACCATTTCATGAGGTGGCTGTAAAGATTATACAAGAGGCTGTAGAGCGTTAGGCAGCGTCCGGCAGAAGATAAATGCTCAATACAAGGCAGCTGCTGTTATTAATGCCAACTTCAGTCTTCAGCGCCCAACCTGGCGCTGACCCCGCCTGATCCCGGTTATGGGGTCCCCAAGATGAGGAGGAAAGGGTCAGGCCAACCAGGTGGGAGAGATGTGTATGGCCCTGACCTACTCCAGCCCCTCTACAGTGCTTAGCCCCTCTTGGGACCGTGGTTCGGACCACCCCTTCCCCCGCGGCCCCCCTGAATCCAGGATGTGTTCTCCGACCGGCGCCGCTGGAGCAGGGCCCAGTCACGCCCCAGAGTCTGACTGCCGGGAACCGCCCGCGCCCCCCTCCCCTCCGCGGGGCGGGCCGACCCCGGGGCGCCTTAAAAACCCGAACTGGCGCTGGTAGCCGCTGCTCTGGGCAGGATCCAACGTTGTCGCGGCTGTCCTTGAAGACCCCGCACAATCCGTTGGCCATGGCCAGCAAAGGCTTGCAAGACTTGAAGCAACAGGTGGAGGGGACCGCCCAGGAAGCGGGTGAGGACGGCGCGCGCGATTTGGGGCACAGGCAGGGGCACTCGCCTGGACGCGCGTGGACAGAAGCAGCGGGTCTACGCAGCCTGCAAGTCTGCAGACGGGCCGCTCGGGATCGCAAAGGCAGTCCCCTGAGATGGACAGGCGAGAGGGGTGGGAGGGACGCCCACCGTGACCAGAAGAGGGATGATGCCCCAAGGGAGGTGGGGAAACAGCGGTGTGAGGGGCCCGGGGTCGCGCGTTGGACTAGCTGGAGCCCATGCGAGGAGGAGGCCTGAGGGTGGAGCCGCCCCGCCCCGGCCCTTGGGCGAGTGCCAAGGCCCACGGAGA